ATCTGAAAACATCAGTAAAATGTTCACTGGCAACATATTTTATTTGTTTTGAACCAAAGCATGCAGTCTTGCAATACAATATGTGCTCGTAGTGATTACAGCATTATTAAATGTTCAGTGTGTAGGTTTTAGTGGCATTTAGTGGTAAGGGTTGTGAATTGCAACCAACGGCTCAGCCACTGCTCACCCCCCACTTTGCAAGCGCGTAGGAACAGCTACGGTGGCTGACAAGCTCTGTCGGCTCTTGTGCTAAAGAATATTGGTCCTCCAATTTCACATATCTTCTTACTTCTAATAAACCAGACAAATACTACTACTACTATTACTAGTAATACTTTTTCTTCTTCTTTGTATGTATTCAACGTAGTGATGAAACACGCTCTGTAAAGCAGTTTGTCCATTTGGGCTACTGTAGAAACATGGCAGCGCAAAGCGGCGACTTTAATGTAAGGGGACCTGCAGTGTATGTAGATAGAAATGGCTCAAGTAGATAAAAACATAACGGTTCATTATGAGGTGTCTTTATTCACCACTAAAAACATATTTATGTATATTATATTGCATTTCTGTCAATAGATCCTCCTAAATATTACACAGTAGACCTTTAACATTTTTATAGTTTTCTAACCATGGTTATAGTTAACGTTAGGGAAAGATCATCGTCTGGTTTAGCACAGGAAAAGCCCACAGTGACTTTTTTATTTATTTTTTATTTTTATTTTACTGAAACCTCAATCTTTTTCTAACCTTAGCCACCGAGCCGTAGACGACAGTCAGGATGCGAACCGCATTCTCTAGTGTCAAAGTCTTTGTACGCCCACCATCCGCCTCGACCACCTCCCTGCAACTCTGGTGTGGTATATAAATGTAGCCCTTCATTCACTCCAAAAAATGTTGCCTCTGAACATAACCCAGCGATTACCTTTGCCACCACAACATGATTAGGAAAACAATTAAGTAATATGAAAACATAATCTCTAGGAAAAAAGAGTCGCCAATATCTACCATTAACAACATTTAACCAAAAGGACAATCTTCGGCTTGCCTATACGTAATCATAAATGTGAATCATGCTTTAGCCGCTGCAAGCTGATGTTGTAGGAAAAAACTGATGAAACATGTTGCTTGTGAAGTTTTTGTAGATATGATCAGTATGAACATTGACTCTGCTGATATGTTCATTAAGTATGTTCCCTTATTATACTGACCAAGAAAAGGCTATTCAGTCTCTTATACTTCTTTCTAAAAATATTTGCTGTTGCAAATTAGTAGTACAAACATGATTTGGTAAGCTATTGGAAAGGATTCAAAAACATTATATATGTCAGTAGACTGAACTCCATCTCACTGAGACCTCTCCAGGTTCAGTTTGCTCGGCATGCAGTGAAATCAGGAGCTTGCAGTCTGCTGTTATTTTAGCTAGTTAATGAGAAACATGCCCTCCTTGGTTTGTTCATGGAACAAAACAACTACAGAGAATATGCTGTATCTCAGGTCTTCTGGGAGTAATGAGAAAGACGGAGAAAGACAGGGAGGGAGGAGGGTAAAAGGCAAGCAGCAAGGGACAGAACAAGAGTAGGAGGGAGGGGACTGGGACACGGGAAGCGATGACACATGAACATGGTCTAAAGGGAGAACTCATTGGGAAATAGGGAGGGAGGAGGAAATAGATGAGAGAGGCAAGGAGGGACAGCAGGGAGAAGGGCGCTCTCGTGAGAAACCATCATCATATAACTGCTCTTATGCCCTACTTCCACCAAATTATAACTGTATTTCATTTTCTTGATGCTTTGTTTTTAGGCAGTTGTGGATATTAACATGTCTCCCAAAAATCCCCGATTATGCCTTTTCCCCACTTGCTCCAATTTTTGTCTGCTTTCCTTGCAGAATGTTCATTCTGTGTTCCCGGTTACACTGTCATGGCCATGTGTGTCACTGTGGATTAAAGGCTCCAACTAAATGCTTGTCTTTTATAAAAGCAAATGCACTGCATTTCAAAATAAAGCAGTTTAAATACAAAAAGGGAAAAGTAATGCAGTAAGCAAAAACTTGCAAGGGAAGAAATCCGCAGCGGGGAAGGAGAGAGAAGTGAAGGAAAGGGTGGAGAGTGGCAAGCAGGAGCAAGGCGGTGAGGGAGGGCAGATTAGAGAGCATTTTACACTCTGAGCTCTTCATCCATCAACACAATCTGCAAAGCTTTGAAGAGAGAAGAGATGCGCAAGCTTTTCATCTAGAAATGTTTGCTCTGTACTGCAGAGCACATGCAAGCAAAGCAAGCAGTTCAGTCAAGCACCCAAATCCAACCGACATCGCACAAAATCACATAGACTGAAAATGCATTTCTGCCTAACAAAAGCTGACGTGGCGTAGCGAGCAAGGGATAACAGTAGAGTCTGCACTGACATTTTGGCCAACTCTGACGAGCAACAATCTCTAACGAGTTGGCTCAGTGTTGCTGCATGGCAGTGTGTCCAGTTTTGACACTGTGCCCTGATTTGTATCCCCTACAATGTCACATGACCACTAGTCGCCAAAACACCTATCAAGTGCATCCTAAAAGAGTACTTCCATTATTTAGCATTGCACTCCTACTGTATAATATGTATATCAGACTCACGACGACTTATTAAAAAAATAGATACAGTGGAACCGGAGATATTGTCTTTTTCTTATTCCTTGTCAAAACCTGGCAACCCACAATGCAACTCCAGCACTGACACTCCGGTCACAGGTTCAGGTGTATTATATTAGTAATGGCAAATGTAACTTTTACTATGTAGCCAATTAAAAATCAGTAAAATGTAAGCTCTGGACACCTCCCTCATCTGTACATGGCTGGGCAATATGACAATATTTACAATGAGATGATTAATAACTGTCAGAGATTTTATTATACAATTTATACTAACATACCTCTCTCTTTAATATATCTATTCGTATTGGGCCTTTGTGGGCAATACTTGAAATCGATGCAATGAAGCACATCAATTGTTCAGGTATTAAAGACATTAGATTAATCCAAAACAGCCATACCCATCTAATTATTACAGGTATAAAATGTTTCTCAATTGAATTTCCATAGAATGTACCATATCATATTGATATTGTGATTAACAAAAAAGTAAATCACATTTACTGTGGCAGAAGATTTGATCCATAACGCCCACTCTTATCACTGCTTAAGCTGTATGATGTCAAGTATAGCTCATGAAAGGCTGGAGGACTTCCGCCGCTTTGTGTGGCTGTATTTGAAATCAATAAGGGACTGCTTGACTTCATGGACAAAACAGATATTTTCTCTGCACAGAGGATTCCTAACATGCTTGTCCACTGATGCTGCCATTTCCAAGACGCCGAGCTCATCGCATCATGTTAGAGTGCTGTAGAGGCCCAAGTGATGCAGTTGTCTACTTAACCTTGGCTGCGTGCTCTGACACAGGCTTCAGTGGAGCAGTGTGTGAATATAGTGTGCGTGTGTGTGTGTGTGTGTGTGTGTTTGTGCATGTAGAGCTGTGTCTCATTCACACAGATTTCACAGCCTCTTTTTGTGTATGATATTTAATTCTGTTCTCCTCCGCTTTGAAGGACCTTTCAGGCCAGTGTTGCACCTCTCATACACACACACACACAGACACACACACACACACACACACACACACACACACACACAACTACTTTACTTAACTACGACATTTGCACACCGCTGCTTGCACACTTTCTCTCCTCGCTCACTCTCTGGCTCTCTGTCAGGGTTGCCATGGAGGGAAGTTTTCTTTGCTGCCATGACAACGTGAGATCTCTTTGGTCTCCCCTAACGACAGGAGAGCGACAGCGCCTGGGTGATGTAGACCTTTTAGGAAAGGTAACTCATTGATTCACACAAACAGCTGAAGTCACCTGTCCCACTCTTTGCCAGGGAAGAGTGGTTGTGGAAGACATACTCAGCTCCTTTACTTTAGTAAAAGTAGCGATACAAAAATGTAAAAACAGTAAAAGTATTTCATTCAAAATCCTACTGAAATAACAGTACGGAAGAATGATCAGCAAAATATACTCAAAGTATCAAAAGTAAAAGTACTCATTCTGTCGTAAAATGTCCGAATGTGTAAGCTGAATTTTACCGCTGTACTGTAGATGGTTGAGGTGGAGCTTTAAATTTGGGACAAACCTAAAGGACAGCTGAAATGTGCAAAGACTGAACAACCCACACATACCGGTAAATAAACTTGCACATATTTTTCTTTGACAGTCAGGAAGGAGCATAAACCTTACACTAAATACACTAGTCAACTGTTCAAAGTGCTAACATAACAAATGTTAGGGATAATCTTTATGTTGTGTTTCTGAAAATTACTGGCAGTGACTGGATATATTGAATATTTACATTTCTTTTACATATCATTTACATTACACATATAGCAAAGTACAAATACCTCAAGTAAAGTACAGTTCTTGAGTAAATCTGCATGAGGGGATCATATCAATCCAATTCTTCAATTTGTTTGTCTGCAGCTTTGCATGTATCTCTACCTCCTGAGTATTTACATAGCAAACTGTCTGAGTCAATTACAAGTATATTTCTAAACCAAATTGGCAGTTCAACCTGGTCACACTGATTTAATTTTGGTAAGGCGAGGGGGAAACGTTAGGTGAATAAATATCAACCTTCTAATTACAGCCAAATATTACCTCAACCCACAGACAGTGACTGTTCCACTCCGACACACATTATACTGTTGAGTCACAGATCAAGTACAGCATGTTTTTTTAGGAAAGCAACAATCCAACTTTTTCTCTCCAGATAACGAAATCAGAATATCAACCAATACTGATCCGATACCAATGCTGAATGAATGTAACTGATAGAGGCATTGACAAAGAAACTGTATTTACATCATGGCCTATACCTTAATAATGTCAAGATCAGTTCAGATAGAGATTCTGCATATCGGATCATTACATCTCTACTTTTTATTCATCATAAATTCACTCATTCTTACCTTAAGTCTCTCAGACACCCCGTCAGTAAAGCTGATGGTGAACTCCTCCACCTTGGGAACCTTCAGCCTCTTCTTCTCTGTCTGGTACTCCGTGCGAGTTTTCACCACCACCTGGAGAAGGGAGAAACTGTTAAATACTAAGGGATGTTAAAGGCACTGAAGGGTGGGTGGATGTTACTTTAGCAGGGTTTTCTCCTCTCCTTCAAAATTAAGACTTTTTACTATGTTTACTATGAGATCTCTGCATGGTTTTCTTGGACATATCTTTAGACTTATTTAATCCATTTGTTTTTATATTCACAGATATTTCATTGTGCATTGTTTGAATATTCAGTATACTCACATGTGATATGCACAGCCGAAAAGATCCTGAACCATAAAGGAACAAAAATAATTTACGACACTGAAAGTAAATCTGGGGTCAGACATCATTCGAGTCTATATTCTGATAAAGCAGTAATACAAAATCTAAAAAGAGAGGTTGAGATGAGTGTACACCTCAATACACAGAGGTGTAAGTAAGGATAGAGTGATAGAGGAAAGCACAAGTTGCAATTTCATACTGACTCTGGATAAACATAAAATAATATACAGATAATACATAATATAGCACAACGCTTATTAGAGCTAGAAAGTATTCTACAGGAAACATTGGTGCTGGGCATCTGTTACAGCTCTACTGTATGTTAATAATGACTGGTGCCCAGAATCCAAGACCCCCAATCCAAAGGGAAAACACTGGGCTTTGTGCCGGCAGCTAAATGGGAAAAAAGAGCCAGGGCAGTACAGCTCTGCCCTAGTACTGTCAGTCCAACACTCCTCAAGCAAACAGGTTTAGAGGGTTGAGAGGGACATGGGGAAAAGGGACAGAGTGAAACTCCCACACTCTTAGATTTGCCTACTTTCCAACTTTCAGTTGTTTTGTAGAAGGTACTGATTCAAAAACTGGGAAAAGTGGATGGGATTTCTCCATTAATTTACCAACTACAGCTGAGTTCCCTTGCGCATGGTTGACACCTCCAATTAAGGATAAAAAGTGTTATTCTGAGACAGCATCAGCCGTTTCAGCAAATACCAGAAAACATTTGTTTATACAGTTGACAAAGCCTTCTAGCGGTGGTAGGAATTATGACTTCTGTCGGTCAGAAGCAAAGGACGGGATAGGTCAACAAAACGGACTTTAACACGTGAGGTCACTATTTTGTCCTGTTTCCTATGAAAAGTCAGTGCTGGTTTCTTATAATCATGACCACAATTGTTCCCTTAGCTTAACTAAGTGGTTAAGGTAAGATTACCATAACAACGAAGGTCCCCTAACCTGCCAAAAGAAGTAATTCCGAGAACCATGACCGCCATTAACCTAACCAAATCATTTATGTGACTAAACCTAACCAAACCTTAACCATAGCGCTGTAAGATCATAAAATAGATTAAATTTTCCAAAACTGATTTGTAACACAGACAAATGATCAGATCAGAAAACGGAAATCAGTTTTGATAACTGTGAACTCATCCAAGTCATTGCTGAGATCTGGGAACTCAGCGTTGTCACTACAACCAGTCTGAAGAATCAAGCATCCAGGTGATCAGACATGTCGTGAATACGCCAACAGTTACATTATCTAAACATGCTATTTGAAGGTAAAAGTCAGTCCAAGACATCAGGTGGACACTATATGCCTGCTCATTTAGTCTCACCTGAATAAATTTTTTAAAAGTTTTGCTTGAAAACAAAACACTTCCTAATTCTGATGCAAAACATCAGTCTCTTAATCAAATGTGTATAAAACTAAGCATAATTTGTGCCCACTAGTCCTGTTTATTACATAACAGAGTGATGAACATCTATTAGCATGTTGTATAGCAGAATAACTCACTTAAAGCTATATTCAGTATTTGGTTTGACCACGCTTTGCCTTAAAAACTGTTTATTCTTCTAGGTATACTTGCTCAAAGCTGCATCTCTGCAAACAGAGCTAGGAATCTGGTCAGAATGTATGGTCTCTTCAATGCAGAGAAGTACAGGCAGATACTTGTTCATTATGCAATACCATCAGGGCATGACAACGACCCCAAACATACAGCGGACATCATTCAGAACTACCTTCAGCTTAAAGAAGGACAAGGAGTCCTGGAAGTGATGGTATGGCCCCCACAAAGCCCCGGTCTCAACATCATCGAGTCCATCTGGGATTACGTGATGATAGAGAAGCAACTTAGGTTGCCTAAATCCACAGGAAAACTGTAGGTAGTTCTCCAAGGTGTTTGGGCCAACCTACCTGCTGAGTTCCTTCAAAAACTATGTGCAAGTGTACCTAGAAGGACCGATGCTGTTTTGAAGGCAGCTTCTGCTCACTCACTTTTCATTTTGTTAATCGATAAATATAATCTATTAGCATGTCTATTTTTGAAAGCATTCTTACTTTACAACATTTTTTCCAAATAACTTAAAACCTTTGCACAGTACTGTACATAAGGGTATTTTCTATCATATCTGGGTTCTAAATATCCTCTCCACGTTGACTTGTGGCAACATTTACACAACCCACACTTATAATTCCTAATCCTAAATCCTAAAAAAAACTTAATTAACTTCTTCTCAGCTTCAGCGTCATTTCCTCTTTCGCGGCACTGACTGATCTGAGCAAAAGAATTTCTTTTACCAGGTTTCACTTCATCACTGCACTTACTAAAAAGAGAACGCATCCCCACTGCTTTGTCCATCCACTGTATATTAATGTGCACCAGAGGATCGGGCAGATACAGAGAAAAGGTGCACAAATGACAAGGCAAAGAATAGGTGGATGGAGAGAAAGAGAACACTGTCTCAGTGTCCTTGTGGCTAATTGTGCTTCTTCTGCGTGGCTCTCCACCACTTTGAGACAAAGCCAGAAACTGCGGTGCACACAAAGCTGCCAGTTGGCTCTAGAAAGCTGTTATCTAAGAGTTGAAGACCACAGTAGGTGTATTGAACACATGCATTTGATTGGACCCCTGAGGACCCAGAGCCTCATGGCCTTCAGTGCAGCAACACCAGATGTCTTGTCTTAGTCGTAACTAATGTCTCAATTTTGCCTCAACTTTCTCATCCTCTGATGTGCTCAGGGCCTCTAGCATCAAACACAGCAGCGCTTTATGTTGCTTCATTACTTTCTCCTCTCACTCCTCTATGTCATATTAGCTAATGACATGGCTATCAATCGGCACTGCCTCATTTCCACAGCCCTTTAGCAACCAGCAGCTCATGGAAATCTACTGAACAAGGTGCCACCATCTCTGTTTAGAAAGGTCCAATTACTTGTTCATTTATGAACAATTATATTGTAATTATATTACATAATTATATAATTATATTGTTCAAAAAATCTTGATGTAAAACATGTCCTATAAATGGTGCAGCCATGAACAGTCAGGACAAGATGAATGAAAATATAATTACAACTTGCTTACTTATTATTCCACAGAGGTAGCTCCTCATTTTTTCCTTTGCGATTAATCATGAGAATCTATTTACATGTATGCAAGGTCATGTGTAGTTTATATTTTCACACTAGCAGCATGGCTTCAGAGATGGCAATATCAGTCAGTTAGATGGTCAGCCCTCCACTTAAGTATTTTAATAACTACTGGATGGATTATCTTGAAAGGTTGTACAGACATTCACGATACCCAGAAGAACCAAAATCCAGGTTTTTCCTGTACAGAGAATTACGAGCCTCCAGCTCTGGCTGCTAACATGCAACACAGTCGGACTGGCCATTGGGAGCACCGGGAGAAATCTGTGGTCATTTAGAGATATTGGTGTGTTTTTTTGTTGTTGAAACATGTTTTCAGCTTTTCATTAAGCTGATGCGCTTGTCAAAGTCACTTTCTGTGAACCAACAAATCACAGCATGCATGGGACGGGACATTATAAAAAGGTTGACATGCTGTTAAGCATAATTATTGGCAAGTTAATACTTAGCATTAAACAATAAGAGACTAGCTACAATGTAAACCATTTTTCTTGAACAAGGATTGAATGAATGAAAACAACCCACACAACTCCTTCTTGACAGCCTCCTCCTAAGAGCAACACATTCCCCTTGTTCTACTTTACATCTATTTTACTAAAGTTACTGATAAAAATATTGTTCAGTAATCTTGTTTACATAAAATGTGGTGTGGGTGGTGCTGGTGCTGGAAGGAAGGCAAATGATTCCAGTAAATACACCAGCACAGTCTCTGCTGCAATTTCCTGTGAGAATCTATTTACAGATGTTCAATTAGTCGTGTGTATTTTATGCAAACGTCTTGAGTCACTGTGACCTTTTAATATCTCCATGACTGACATGCAGTCACTTTTAGATCTGTAATAGAGCTCCACAATTTATTCCTGTGTGGTGAAATGATTGCTGCCACACAATGTGATACTGGACGTTTTTGAAGGACTTGATATATATGGCATTTAAGCGCATTTCAAGTTGTCAGTTTTTGAATCAACAAGAGTTTGAATGACACATGAAGAATTAATTTCAGAAAGAACAGAACTACTACTCTCTCTCTCTCTCTCTCTCTCTCTCTCTCTCCCTCCAAAGACTGAGCTGTGGGAGAATTGGTCTTTCAGGAAGTTTCAGTGTGAAAGGCAGCTACAGACACTTTTTTTCATGATTCCTTCCTTGTGAATAAAAGTGTGAATGCATATAAACATGGATCTGGTTAGAAATGTAATATAAACTGTAGGTTTTCAAAGACCTTTACCTAGAAAATAATACAATTTCAGGGGATGTAATAATCTCGTCAAGGTAACTGTGTGTTTCTTTAGCTGCTTAATACTCCTCTTTGTTGACCAGCTAGTTGCTGTGTCTGTCTGCCATTTGGTGTTGTGAAGGTAGCGTACAATGGGTGTTTAGAGATTTTTTGCTCAAAGCCGCTGTGTGCTGCCTCTGAAAAAAAGAGGCTAAAAAGTTGTGTAGATCTGGGGCACAGTTAGGTGATAATTTCCTGTGAATTTGTCACTACAAGCAACGCTTTTCACATACACATAGTAATTTCGTCCATTTTTATATAAAAATGTTGATAATAGCAGCATAAAAAAGAATCTTTATAACATTTCAAATAAACCACAATCA